GATGGCGACCTGTCGTTGTTTGTGAACGAGCAATCATCGTTTGCCGTATGTTCCACGGAGGTGCCAGGGTGCAAGGGTAACTGCATCTACTTTTTGAGTGAGCCCGATGAACACTCTTATCTCTACGACACCTGCTGCAGCACCTGGGTGTCCACTCCATGGAGGAGAAGAAGGTTCTGAAAAAGTTTGCATCTGCTCTGCGCATTCGTTGGCTCTGGGGTGAGTGGCTTACTCCGATCAAGCCTTGGGTGGGATTAGGGACGCCATGCGACCGACAGGATAGAGACATCTTTGCGGCCTCCACAAAAGTAGTCGCGGGCGATGGTACTCGTGCCATTTTTTGGGAGTCTGCTTGGCTTGATGGTTTGCGACCCAAGGACATCGCACCAAAATTTTTTGAGCTGTCACAAAGAAGAAATTGCTCGGTCCAGAAAGCACTCCTCAACAATTTTTGGGTGTCTCAGGTGAAGACCTCTCAGGGCATGACTGTTGACCATCTTCATGAGTTCGTCAACCTATGGGAGAAGCTATCTCATGTTCAGCTAATACCTGACATGCCTGACTCCATCATTTGGAAGCTCACCAAGGATGGTCACTATTCCGCAGCAACGGCTTACAGTGCGCAGTTTCTCGGTTTAGTCGACTCGGACTTGCCTCAAATTGTTTGGACAACTTGGGCCCCCCCAAAATGCAAGTTTTTCGCTTGGCTAGTCATCAACAATAGAATCTGGACGGCAGACCGGCTTCAGAAGCAAGGGTGGCCTAATTGCAACATGTGCCCCCTGTGCAAGCAAGTCCAGGAATCGGCAGCTCATCTGCTTTTTAAATGCCGCTACACGGTTAGAGTATGGAACATGATTAAAGCGTAGCTTGGCCTTCATGACATTTACCCGCAGAACTGGGCCATGGTTGACACGGTCAAGAAGTGGTGGAGCGCCAACGCTTCCAACAGGACGCAATCTCGACGACCGCTTACCTGCCTTATGTTGCTCGTCTCTTGGGAAATTTGGAAAGAGCGGAATGCTAGGGTATTTCGTAATGTCGCAGTGCCTGTTGGGGTTTTAGTAGCTAGAATCAAAGACGAGATGACGCTATGGTGTCTGGCCGGTGCGAAACATTTGTCTAATATCATGCCACGAGAGTGATACGTTGTATTTGGCCTTTGGCCAAGACCCCTAATACTCCTTATTCAATGAAAATGGCAAATCTTTTGCCTTGTTTCAAAAAAAAAAGAAGAATAAGGTACTGTTTCAAAGCCCCATTGGTGGTTCGCCGGGAAAGTACAATGCTGCGCGGTGGTTCTTCCCGCGTGTTGATGCACGCGTGAAAACTGTGCAAACTCTGGAAAGAAGAGAAAAATCCAAATGATGTAGGTATATATAAGCTGGGTAATCATATTATGAGAATCTAATTAGCAGCTCATGTATCTAGTTAGTGTCCCCCATTTTCTTTATGCATTGACTTTAGCGTGAACTTTAAAGAGTTGTATTGCGTGGCAAAGGTGTATCAGGAAAATTCCATGCCCGGGCGTTGCACTGCTCCTTCAGCCCTTCGTCTCGGATGGGTGGTTTATCGCAACAATTTTGTGTGGTAAACATGCTGAGGTACCGAGGGGGTGCACACGTGCCTTGGTGGCAAGTTGAAACAGCTTGAGATGCCAGTACCCTGTTCCCAGGTTGAGTACTGTGTTGTACTCATGGCGTATAATCCTAATTGCTATAATTAGGAGTCTAATGCTCTAGTCCTTAGCTGATACTGAGGATATGATGATGTTATGAATTCTGGCTAGTTTCTGTTAACATTATTCTCTACAAATTTGTATAAGATTCACCTTTCAAGTTCACCAAAAGAGAGGTGTCT